TTACCTTATAGTGAGCTCACCAGAGAGAGAAGAGAGAGAGAAACAGAGGGAAAGTGAGAAGTCACCCTTGTGGGGGAAAGGCCCTGCCCCAATTCCTTCTCCTCCATTCCCCTCCCAGGATCTTGGGCACGCATCCATATGCACTTGGCATGAGTTTCAAGCCCCTGGGTCCAGGACACGAACTGCAGTCGGCCGTGTAGAAGTCCAGCAATGTAGCTGCTACGCCATCCGCTGGCCCCGTATCACCTTCATTTTTTAAGGATGTTTTACTTCTGCTTAAAGACGTTCTGTGTTCTGGCTTGTATTTTTTTCAGTCAAAAAACTTGTGGTTTCTTATCTTTGTAACTGTGGGTAGTTTGCCTTTTTTCTCTAACTGCTTTTAGGATTATTTTTTGTCACTAGTTTTCTGCAATTTGATGATATGCCTTGGGTGGTTTCTTTGTGTTTATCCTGCTTGGGTTTTATCATTTCTGAAAGTTTCACTTGGTTCTTTTAAAATATCTTCTAATTTCCACCATGATTCATCTTGACTTTCTAATTTTATTTATTAATTCAACATTCAACAAATTTGAGCCACCTAATCATGTATCTGGAGTCATGAAACAAAACAAAGATCCCTGTTTTCTTGGAACATATGTTCTGGGGGAGGGGAAGAGAAAAAATACACTATAAACAAATAAGATTATAAGCGCTGTGTGATAGGTTTCAAGTGCTGTGGCAAAATATAGGGCAGGTTAAGATATGGAGGGGAGGGTTCCTATAGATAAGGGGATAAAGGGTTGCAGAAGTCAACTAGCTAGAAGGCTAGCTAAAGGTGGGGAGTAAGAAGCCTTGCAGATACTGGGGGGTGGGAGTGAAGCAAGGGAGGGGACAGGTCAGAGAGCTGAGCAGGTAGGGGGAGGAGATAGGACACCAAGTGCAGACTAGGTGTGTTTTTGCTTGTTTGGGATGGAAGCCACTGGAGGGTTTTGAGTAGAGAAAAGTCATGTTATCTGACTCTAGTTTCAAGGGTCACTCTGGCTGCTGCATGGTGAATGGACTTCAGGGGTAGAAGGCCAGAAGTGGGAGACAGGAGGCAACTGCAGGGACCTCCTGCGTGGTGGCCGGGACCTAGCAGTGGCAGTGGGCGGTGAGAAGCGCTCAGATTCTGGGTGCATCCGGAAGGCAGGGTTGTCCTGATTTATAAACAGATTGGACATGGGGTAAAGAGAGGTCCAGATGGTTAGTTTATGGGCCGGAGTAAATAGAAAGGTGCATATCACCCGATAAAAACAGGGGAGAGGGCAAGGCAGTTCGGCTGTGGCAGGTCTGGAGCATGAGGGCTCACAGGACACCCCACAGGCATTATGGTACTGGAGACTGGGCTTAGCAATTCACACCTCACTGGTGAACGGTGTGGACACAGGTTTAGTGGTGCAAATTGAGGTGCAGGGTGAACGCACAGCTCTTTCTAGGAACTTTGCTGCAAAGCAAAGCAAAAATGCAATGAATTGGTAATTTGGATAAGAAGGGTTTTGTTAATATAGGAGAGACAGCATACTTTTATGCTAATGAGAACAATCTAGTAGATCAAAAAATGATCACTATAGGAGGCAAAACAAATTTAAGAAAAAAAATTTTTAAAAGAATTATTAAGTTTATTTATTCATTCATTTATTTTAATTTGACCAAAGATAGAGAAAGTAAGCCACCAGGTCTGGGACTCAAACCGTGGTCAGCCATGTGGGAGTATCCAGCGC